GATGATCCGATTAGGAGAGTAGATGTTTTAAATTCGACTTGTGTTAAGAAAGGCAGAGGTAGACCTAGGAAGACTTGGGCTTATTGTATTAAAAATGATATTAATTTACTAGAACTAAATGAAAACATGACACTAAATAGGAGGCAATGGAGAAAAAGGATTCATGCAGCCGACCCCACGTAGTGGGATTAAAGCTTTGTTGTTGTTGTTGTATTTAGCTCTAACACTGTGATTGATGCATAAAGAAAAAATTACAATCCAACACATTTAAATTTATTTCTGAAGTCATTAGCCCGGAGCACCTACTCCTCCATGGTAATTTATAATATAACTCGCCGCTAGCCGTAATAAGAAAATAATATCAAATTGTGAACAGCTTCACTGGTCGTTACTCTCTTAGGCTCTTAGCTGTCACGTAGCATTCTCTCTCGTGCAAACCTAATCATCGATCGATCGATTAATCAATTTGGAAAGGAATCCCGAGGCACAGGGAGAACGGAGAAGGGGGAAGGAGAAGCGAGAGAAGCGAGACGGAGAGATCGACATGGCGATACTATACGCGCTGGTGGCGCGGGGCTCCGTGGTTTTAGCGGAGTTCAGCGCGACGCAGACGAACGCGAGCGCGATTGCCCGGCAGATCCTCGAGAAGATCCCAGGAACAAACGATAGTCATGTTTCCTACTCGCAGGATCGCTACATATTCCACGTCAGTCGCACCGATGGCATCACCGCTCTATGCATGGCGGACGACACCGCCGGAAGTGAGTTTATCTCCCTCTTTTTTCGACATCATCAATCCTGCCGTGGCTTTTTTTCGTACTGGATTGTTTTCGAAGTTGCTATTTTGTTGATTCGTTTTGGCTAAAGAGAGATGAATGATTGAACGGCCTGAATCGATTTAATTTATCACTGCTATTAGATTATCAATACTGAATTTTCCCGTATTATGAGATCATCACAGCTGATTTTTCCCTTTTGGCACCTCATTTTGTTGGGAGATTGAGGTTTGCAGACAAAATTATTATTAAAATTGGATGCTGGAGATGGAATATATAGTTCTCTTTTATTTGAGCCGTGTGGCTTGGGTTGGAGACGTTAAGTGATTAGAGGTAACCATTCTCCTGGTTTGAGGCTTATTTATTATTTCGTGTAGTCCCCCATTTTTGTTGCTTTTGTTTCTTTCATCTATTGTATAATACTCTTTTATTAGGTGATATTAGCTATTTTAGATGAGTGCTTTTTTCTTTTAATAATTCTTAAATGATATTTCATTCAAGCGGAAAGAGATCAAACAAAATAATTGTCATAAGATATGATGGTGTTGTTTTCATTCATCATAGATTGTAAGAAAGATTAATTGAAATTCTATAGTTGAGTCAATCTTTAAAAGGTTATGAATGAAAATAAATGCGATTCTAAGAACTGAAAGAAAGTAAATATTGCTAAGATTCTTTGTTGAAGCTATAATTCTAGTAAATAGGGTAGATGGAAAAATCAAAGCTTATGTACTAAACAGGATGGATGGATGGATGAATGTCTAGATTATAAATATTTTTTTTCTTGCCTAAAATGAAAGAAAATTTTGTTTTGCAATCACTTTAAAGGCAATTGAAGGAGATAGTGTGACCATATCTTATAAAGTTCTAATCATTGACACACACACTTAATATATGTATATATACGTGCACGCGCGTGTGTGCGAGTTCAAAATAAATTATTCTCCCGTATAAGATGGTTAAACTTAAAAATGTGAAAAATTGTTATAGTTTGTTCATCACCAATGCCTTCATTAGCCTATTCTAATTATTAAGGATAGTTTTTATGAAATTTATTTTTTATTAATCCTTGTTGAGTGTTGCTTGAGTTGTTTTCCTAGATAGGCTATTAAGAGAAGCATATTCAAATTATATAGCTGGTCATATTTGATTTGATGTAGGATGAGTTGTTTCATAAAAAGACATTTGCTATAAAACTTTTAGGAGATTTGAAAAATACACCACATAAAAAAGAAAGTTGATCGTGGAGTGAAAAGGTATAAAAAGATAAGATGTAACATAAATGAAATGTGCCTTTAAGGAGTGGCACAAAATAAATGCTATGGAGGCATTCAAAAGCTAGAAGTATTACAAAGTAGTGAATAAAATAAAAGTTGAGGATTTTAATGATTCGTATAGCATAATTACCAAGAGAGGAGAAGAATGAGATCTATAAAATAATTATGGTGAGTAATAAAATGTCAAAAGGCTAAATAGATGACACATAATTAATGATAATACAATCTTAATTAAATAAATGGGCATTTAAATACGTAGCACACAATTCTTATGAATTTACAGATCTCACACCTAAACTTTTATATTTATATCATATCACTCAAATTTTTAATATCACATAAGAAAAGCACTATTACCACTTTTTACAAGTGAAATACACATTTTCATTCATAAGTTTAAAGCACAAAATGCTATGTATGTACATATGAAAGTTTACATGCGGGCTATTTAAATACATAAGAATTGTGTGCTACGTATATAAATTTCCCTTAAATTACTATGAAGGAAAGGTGAAAAGGCTATCTTATAAATTTATTAGTGAGGCCTCTAAGGGATAAGATTTTTGGAAGAGCATGATGTGCTATACATGATTGACCTCAAGAAGTGGATCAAACCTAGCTCCAAAGAGGACATTTAGAGATAAAACTTGAGTTCCATGATATTTATTGAGTTTTAGAGTGTTATTGGGTAATATCATTGTAGTTTGGTTGCTCATCTTTTCAATGTTAATGCTAACATATGAGGATGCCAAATAATCAGAGAAAAAACACATTGTGTCGTTATTCAATAATAGAAAGGGTGTTCATGATTGTGGTAAATATGGTTATACGATGATGTTGTGGGAGAGGGTAATAGAATATAAGATAAAGGAATTACATCAACTTTTGATAATTAATTTAGTTTTATGATATAAATATCCATCATGGACTCTAATTTTGTGCCAAGGAAATTAATGTAAAAATATAAATAGCAAATACAATACTTTCTTATGATTTTCATTGGCCATGAAAAGACCTAGGATCGAGTACCATGAGAATTAATTTGATAAATATTAAAGAAAAGTATATCGAAGATATGTAGAAAATAATTAAAATGTGCATGACTGAGTATTAACTGATACTTAAAGTAGATTTGGAATGACTAGGAATTTCAAATCACAGTTTGGTTTACATTATGGATTAGCTTTAAGTTTGTAACTTATACAATTGATTGCAAATGATATTCTAATTAGGTCATGCTAGTAAAAAAAAAGTAGGTTATGCCGGTAGATGTTTTTTTATTTGCTATACTAATGCTTACAAAGGATAATACTGTTCCAATTGTTATCAAAATAAGTGAAAAATCAAAATATTGTAAAAAATTTTTAGTCGATAAATGGCTTGGGATTAGTTGATGCAAATGCTAAGTATGTGACATAATTATATTGGGTTTGATATTGCTAATTATTGGTTAATATTACTAAAAGGTAAAGTGATACCTTAGTGTGATATGTTAATTATGTTATATATATATGGAAGAATGGTGATATAAATGTGGATATAACTTGCAGAGTTAATTTTTGTTGCTAAAATGGTGAAGTATATTATGAGTACCATACAATAAAAGAATATCATGGACATTAATCATAATTTTTATAATTGCAATTTGGTCATCAATTTTGTATGATTTAAGTATTAGGAAGCAAAGAAGAAATCAACAGATAAGTATGATAGGAATTAAAAGATTAAGTTAGATATGTGACAAAGCGAGGAAGAATGGATTGATAAATAATTAAAGCAGTGATAGATTAGGACTAGTATTTATTCAAAATAAAAAATAAACTTACTTGGCTTTGGGTCATGTATAATAAATGGTAGAGTAGGCAGTGATTGGTAGATAGTTTTAATATTGAGTACTAGGGTGAAACATGGCTGATTAAATGTAACCTTGATAGAAATTGAGCAAGAATTATTAAGCAATATTAGCTCTAACCTCTTGTAATACTTAATAGGGTTTACTAGAAATAAGAAACCATAAAGCCAACTATAAATAGATGAGACCGAGTTAATGGTCATGATGATGAAATGGTATTTGAATCATATTTTGATGGCATTTAGATGCCACCCAAACAGATAAAATCTTGATGCCAAAAGAAATAACCAATAAAGAAAAACCTTCATTGATCATTGCTAATCACAGATTCACAATAGATTTTTTAAGACAGGTAATATTGAAGAAAATTCATTGCCTTTTATGGTTAACATCATTAATTCACACCATTATATTGATAGTGTTTTCAGTTATTTTGTTATTTGAATGTTTCAATAGGGGGTCAAATGATTATGAACCGCGGTCAACACATTTGTCCATCCTTTTCTTTTTGCTATACCTTTTCATGAATAAAATTTTGTTGATTTAATTCCTTTTTTTGGTACTTTCTAATTAAGTAGTTGATGAAGTTTGGTGCTTGTCAAAACTAATGCAAGTGTTGCCTTTAATTGTTAGAACATTCAAGTCTTTTTATGCTTTAGTTTTTGTTGCAACTTCGTCCTTATATTTTAGTTGTATTCAATAGAATGCCATCATCTCTCCATTTTATTATCCATTGCAAAAGTGGACACTTTTTCAAATGGTTTATTGCATTCTAGAAAGATTATTGATGGCATTTTTTGCGCTGAGGAAAAAAAAGGCATTGTTGAAACTTTTGCAATGGATAATAAAATGGAGAGATGATAGCAAAGTTTGTCTGAAAACAATATTTACATTCTATTGAATACAACTAAAATATAAGGAGGAAGTTGCAACAAAAACTAAAGCATAAAAAGACTTGAATGTTCTAACAATTAAAGGCAACACTTGCATTAGTTTTGGAAAAAGCACCAAACTTCTTCAACTACTTAATTAGAAAGTACCAAAAAAAGGAATTAATTAGTTTTGACAAGCTTATGTTGAGTTAGAGTTTAGATTCATGGCTATATATTTTACCTTCACTGATCCTAACCAAGAGTAAATGTTCCTGACTCGATCACTTTATACTTTCCACCTCTATTAGCATATCATTCATAAATTTTATTCTGAGGTGAAGCTCTCCGTGATTTTACATATGGCGTAGATCTCTGGGTAGACTTTGAGGAATTTTTTATCTAATGCTTTGGCTGGCAACATAAGTTACATGCATTAGAACTCAAAAGGCATTTTCCTTGATTTAGCCCTCCTTTATCACAAGTCTCGTAATACTACTGATAATATCACCACTAATTCCACAATTGAAGCCTTCTTAATGCATAACCTATTCAATCCTATTTAGTGCTCTTCCTTTTGTTCATTCGTTTAAAAATCAGTTTCTATTCTCTTTGTTCTTTCCACCAGTATAGAGTAGTTTTCAATCTCTAAGTGCACCAAGAGTTATCTAATCATGCACCACAATCCACACAAGAATTGACGGAGCTTTTCTCTGTAGTGGGGACTACTTGATGCTTATTCTTTGAAAACATGATAAATTTTGCCTCGTATTACATTAATGATTGATCTATTTGTATCAATCTTTTAAATTTGCGTTATATTTGACTTTTTAGAAAGAAGCTAATGTCAAGCTTGAAATGTTTTCACAATCTCTTTCCACGAAATTTATCTTCAGACCAACTTTGCCATCATCTCTCCATTTTATTATCCATTGCAAAAGTGTCAACAATGCTTTTTTTTCCTCAGCGCAAAAAATGCCATCAATAATCTTTCTAGAATGCAATAAACCATTTGACTCCCCTGAAAGAAGTGGTCGCATGCTTTGGAACAACTTTAAATAATTTTTTTTTTTATTATTGTACTGCTACCGCCCATGATTGGGACTAAGAATCTTGAATAGCTAAGTTATTGATACCATCATCAAGTGAATGCATGAGTGGGAACACCCATTGTATCAAATTGTAAGCCGACAATTGTTTATTTCACCCCAATAGCTTCTTCTCCCTTTCTATTAGCCTTAGTTGTATTCTTGTTTGAAGTTTTTTCTACAAGAATTCATACTTGATATGCAAAAGGCAATATTATTCAATGGACAGATAAAATACATTAGTATTGCACCTATCCAAGTATTTTAAACATCACTTTTTTTTTTCATTAATTATTCTAGTGGTTCTTTCGTCACCATTTGTATCCCTTAGTGTAATTCTTTTGCTTTAAAACTGCTATTGTGATGATTCGGCCTAAGTGTTTGGAGTACTGATGCAAGAATTGTCGAGCATAATTTTTTTTTTTAATCTTGAAGGCTTTCATAAATATCTTAATGTTAAACATGTGAGATAATACCAAACATTTAAAAGAAAAGCATCTAAATTATTTTATCATCTGTCAAAACTATATAAAAGGATTTGACACTGTTTCACACTTGTCGTAAACAAAACCTCTTCTATCCTTTATTTGCTTCATCAAATATTTTCTTGAAAATGTTTATCGGTTTGTAGAGTGAGTTGTAAATATATAACATTGTGGGTTATATTATAATTTAAGTTATAATAACTCAAATGGAAAAAAAAATAATAATATGCATGCTGCTCATTATATTTAAGATGCAAGAAAGATCATAATACTTGGTTTTAGTAATTATGACTATAAACGTTGTTTAGTAATTAGAGTTATGTATGATAGTTGAATCATAACTTTCAACTTGATTTTAAGAGCTTCAATATGTAATAAACATATCATATCATTACTTTTTTTTAGCATATACTTGATACATGCGTTTCAAGAGTACCTTCTCTATTTAAACTCAAATCACTTCCAGCCTTTATTAGAATTGCAGGGTATAACTTGTAAATCTATTATTTATTTTGAAGTGGAAATATTAGACTTATCAACACATGGGTACATTAGCATGCTCGGTTGATACTATAAGAGGGTGATTCTTTTTTTCAATGTGCTATGCAAACATATCAATATAATATATATCATTTATTTTCTCATTCTTGTAGGGTGCAAAATAAACAATCGAAACAAAACATGATAACATATACTTTTTTCATAGCAATACAAATGATTATTTGTATTGATAAGGAATTATTATAATTTATAATAACTATCTTGTAGTAATGAATCATCATGTGCATATAAAGAAGCAGAATCATTAACATTCAAAGTAATGCGTCGGTTTAGAAGAATACATTATATGATATTATACATCTTTGCATCATGGATTCTAAATTAATACATTGCAAACACCTTAAGGCCTTGCGTAACTCTTTTTGAATTCCACCTAAGTTCCCACTCAAATCCAATTTATATAAAGTATGCATATTATAATGCACATAATTAGAGTCATGCAACCAAATAATTTAAAGTTCACTCTTTAAATAAAAAAAAAAATACACATTTTTTCACATTATTTTGGCTATCCTTTTAAATATTACTTGAAAATAGAAATTAATACAAATATTGTTCTTATGGTTATTTCATGTCCACTAGAAAGCACAACATGCCTTAGTTATAGCTATCATGTAATTGTCGTAAAATAAATTATAATAACATAGATCTTTAGTTCTCACTTAAATAACTAAATAAATTTATTTATATTGGTTAGATTGTATTTCATCTCCAGTAGAAGTCATTTTTCATGTTTACAATAAATTATAATTATGATGTTTTTATAACAGAACCATATAACTTTATCCCACAATTATGTAAATATTTTCTAAAGCATTGATTACCTTAGGAATCTAATAATATGGATTTATATGACCGTGAATTGAACACACATATGATCCCTCATTTGTAGAAAGCTCCAAATAATTTTAAAGTTTCCTACATACTTATCTATAGGACTTTTTTAACGTTTTCCGTTATAATTATAACCAAAATTTTAATATTAATCATAAGAGAAATCAAGGGTTTAACTTGATTTTAATACAGTGTAAGAAGACAATCTATTCATGCATTTATTTTTAAATCTACGTCTTATATTAAATATGATGTATACATATTAAAATAAGTTTTCTTACAATATTTTGTCATCTTAAACCAATTAGCATCTAACAATCCAACCTAAATTCAATTAACTCTGACTTGTATTTATAACTATAAGAATCTTTAAATATGATAATCAGAAAATCTATAAGTTAACTATTTGTTCATAACATTGGCTAGTAAGTTTTAAAACTTAACCTGGGATAGCATGCAAGTTGAAAATCTAAACATAAATTTATCTTAAATATTCTTCATTTTCTCATAAAGAAATTGAAACAATAAATATCGGGTTAGAGTTTACCTTTGAACTAGAAGAAAGAAGAAAAAGCGAAATTCTTAAAAACTTACTCTTTCTCCTAAATTTTTTATTGCTCTTCTTCCGCATAGCCTCAGCCAAATCAAGCCATTGACGCTTTAGACACACTCACTGTCCTCTCATACTCTCTCTATCTTGCTCTTCCACTCTCATTCATCACCTTTTTAAAGCAATGTAATCGACGGTTCCGTTCAATTTAATTGACCCAATGTTTCACCCACTTATCTTTTATTTATTACAATTTAACTTTATTTTTACAGTTATGCCATTATCCTTATTATATATTTTATATGAAATATTAAATCATAAATTAAAATTTTCTTTTAGTATGGATTCATTTAAATCTTAGAATCATTCTCAAAATAGTTATATCATTTATCTTTAATTATTTGTATTCAATTATTTTGAGCAGTTTTTTTTCATTTTAAACTTAATTGATTTCTGTGCATCAATTAAATTGTTAAGTTAATCATAAAATTTTAATAGTAATGCTTCTTAATCAAGTAAATTAAATTTTGGATTTGTACAGTGCAAGCTTATAATGAGTGTTTGGAACAACATTCTATATAAATAACGTGTACGTTTTATTCATTCGAAACTTTATGGCGTCTCAGTGCTGATTTGAAACAATTTTCTTTTCTCAGGAAGAATTCCGTTTGTATTTCTTGAAGACATTCATGGAAGATTTGTGAAGACATATGGACGTGCATGCCATACAGCTCTTGCTTATGCCATGAATGAGGAATTTTCTAGGGTCTTAAGTCAACAAATGGACTATTATTCAAACGATCCTAATGCAGATAGGATAAATCGCATCAGAGGTGAAATGAGTCAGGTAGAGTTGAAAGGCATTTTCCATCCCATGCTTATATTAAGCGTACCTCTTGAATAGATAGATTGGACCGGATGTATAAGTATCCGTCTCATTTTCCTATTAACTAATTTGGTTCTTGTACCGACCTAGTAGTCCAAGTATTTTTTTTTTTTTATTGACTAAAGGATCAGGTTCTGCCTTGTTATAGTTAACCAATCTATAAGGTAAAAATGTCTATCCTTCTTTGTATGTGGGGGTGTATTTTGTTTTTGTAGGGATGTGTGTATTGGAAAGGAGGGGATTGGGACTTCAGATGTGCAAATTGGGAGGGATATGGCTTCTTATAGGTCTAAAATGATGCAATAACGCAAATTATGTAAAACATTCAATGTATTTTTAGTTCTCTTAAAAAAAATATATAACTGTTACATGCAACAACTAATTTGAATTGTGTTTCTTTTTTTGTACCCCAATCATTGTCTTAAATGTAGGTCAAATCACATTTTCTATTCATTTTTTACCTATAAAATTGTAATCATCACATCACTAGTCTATTTAAACTATTTGGGACCAGCTTCATGAATCTATATTTTCCTTCTGTTCGTGCTGGGTGTTATTTGAGATGCTAGACCTCTTTTTAAAAAAATCATCTTGAACAACTTCTATCAATGTTTGGCCTACCCATTTTCCTTCCTAATCTTTTGATATGAATTTTATCTAATCATCTAATAGGCATATTTTCTATCATTCTTTATACATGGTCAGATCATTTAGGTTTGTTTTCAATTATTTACTCATTATTAGATGTTATTTCATTCTTTCCTTTAATATAATCGTCTCTTAATTTATACTTTCTAGTTTTGGCATACGTCATCTTAATATTCTTTTGTATTCCACACTATTTTCATCCGACACTTTAGACCTATACAATATTACCCCCTTAATTGTTGTGCTAATAATTTTATATACAAGTCTCCATGATATGCTCTTGTTGCGTAAGGCTTCTGAAGCTTTTCTCTCTGTCAATTACTTAGCATTACCAAGAAGTTATATCTTCGTCTTTATCTCCAATCATTTGTATAATAGATTTAGGATAGCTTATTGAAACCCAATTATCACTTTATCTTTTAGTAAAATTGATTGATAATTTTTTATTTCATGCCCCTAAAAAAATTGTATTTCATAAATTTTCATTGTTTTTCTTAGCTAATATATTTTATCATCTCAAAATTTTCTTCATAATTATAATTTTTTATTTATTTCAATGGATGTCTCGTTGATTAAAGCTCTATCATATGCAAAAAAGCATGTAAGGAATATCTCTTTTAATATCCATTTACAAGCATCTTCATAATTAATTAAAAAAGTGACATTTACATACATGCAACACAATTCTTATGTTTTACATATCTAACATCTAAAATTTCACATTTACATATAACTCATTAATATAAAATTAAAATATCACTATTATTTACTTTCAAAAGGTGAAATTCACCTTTTCATGCATAGATTTATGTCGCCAAAGTGCTATAAATGTAATAATAAAGTTTATTGTTAGATATGTAAATTGGAGAATAGAGCAGGATGATATTATTGATAGAAGTAGGAGTATTTAACCCAAATACAATGAATACAATAAAGGAAAGAAATAAAAGAGAATAAAACAAATAGGAAAGAAATAAAATAGAATAAAACAAGTAGGAAATAAATAATGAGGGAATAAAAATGAATAACAAGCAATAAATCTAATACTCCCCTTCAAGTTGAAGCATAGATGTTAGTCATGTTTAACTTGGATGTGAAGTATCTAGCAACAAACAAGGAAGATTCTTGGTGAGGATGTCTGCTAGCTGGTGAAATATCTAGCAACAGACAAGGAAGATTCTTGGTGAGGATGTCTGCTAGCTGACCACTGGAGGACAAAAAATGAATACAACTTTTTCAGAGTCAATCTTCAACTTAATGAAGTGTTTGTCAATCTCCACTTACTTGGTACGATCATGCTGGATTGGATTGTGAGCAATGTTGATTGCTGCCTTATTATCACAGGATAGCTGCAGCGGGACATACTTTGGCATATGGAATTTGCGGAGCATGATGCGTAACCGGAGTGTTTCACAGATTCCTAAGGACATAGACCGAAATTCATCTTCAGCACTGCTCCGGGCATCCACAGACCATTTTTGATTTTTCATGGGACAAGATTGTCTCATATAACAGAACGATACTCCAAGGTAGAATGTCATTCATGAACCGATCTGACCCAATCAACATCTGTATAAACAACAATAGAACGAGAGATGTGATTGGAGAAAAATAAACTTGAGCTCGATGTACCTTTTAAATAGTAGAGAATTCAGTAGACAATTTGGAGATGATGCTCATAGGAATCATGCGTGAATTGACTCACTATGCCAATTGCGTGACATGTCGGGGTGAGTATGGGCGAGGTAGATAAGTTTTTACACGAGACGTTGGTAGTGAGTCTTGTTGACAAGCATAACATTGGGAATGTCAGATAATTTTTTATTGGGATCCACAAGGACAGTCACTGGTTTGCATAGAAGAAGATTGTTCTCTGTCAAGAGATCAATCACATATTTACGCTGAGATAGACAAATGCCTCGAGTTGATCGAACTACTTCCATGCCTAAGAAGTATCAGATAAATCCCAAGTCCTTCATTTCAAAGAACTTAGCAAGAATGTTTTTTAAAGACTCCAATGTTGGGAGATCATTACCTGTAAGAACAATATCGTCAACATAGATAATAAGATCAGCTACCTGACCATTAGAGGAATGTCAGAATAAGAGAGTGCGATCCGATTGAAGTAAAACCATGACGACCACCTTTGTGAACTTGTCGAACCATGCTATTGTGGATTGTTTTAGCCTATAAAGGAACTTTCACAGCCTGCTCGCTTGCCATTTGGAGGCAGTAGAGTCAAATTCAAGAGGGAGCGACATGAATATCTCTTTTGTAAGCTCTCCATTCAAGAACGCATTCTTGACATGTAGCTGGAATAAAGGCCAATCAAGATTCACAAGAAGGGATAACAATACTCAAATATTGTTTAACTTAGCCATTGGAGCAAATGTCTCCTTATAGTCAACTCTGTAGGTTTGTAAGTGCCATTTGGCAACCAATTGTGTCTTGTTGCATTCAAAGGATCCATTAGAGTTGAACTTGGTGCTGAAAATCCATAGACACCCCATAACTTTCTTATCCTGAGAAAGATCAACGACATCTCACATATGGTTCCATCGAAGAGCATTCATCTCCTCCATTACTGTCGTTTTCCAGGCTGGATCAGCAAGAGCAACATCAATAGTAGCTGAGATCTGGTAGTCTGTCAGGGCAGTAGCACATGCTTTGTAGGTTGGTAATAAACTGCAGAAAGAGATATTTTGCCATAGAATAGAGGGAGCATGTATGATTGCATACCTTACTTGGAGAACTCACCTCCTTATGCGGTGGAGTGGTCATGTTGATGATGTCGCCTGGAGTGAAGGTCCTGTAAGGATTTAGTTGGTTCCAGAGTAAGAGTATTTGAACAGGTCCGCCGAGTGTAGACACGGATAGTGGAGGAAGCGATGGCGCACGCATAAGTCTAGGGGACTCACTAGATGGTGCACTCACCAGAACAGTGGACTCATCAGTGGCAAAAACAATAGGGGGAACATTCATAGGAGTAAGATAAGAGACAGTCTCTAAGAACCCAAGCTCTCCCTCACTTGGGGTCGAGCTAGAAAAATAGGAAACACTTTCAAAGAAGGAGAATCAACACTCACATAGATTCTATTAGTCGTAGGATCAAGACACATTTTATAGAATTGGGATCAATTTTACTCCGATTGGGGGCAGTGCTCCTAACAAATGTAGTGCACCCAAAAATATTGGATTCTAATGTGGTGAAGTCCTAATTGACAGGGAAACATGCCTTGAGGACGGCTAAGGGGATTCAAAACTTGTGAATTTTAAAGGGGTTTCTATTTATGAGATAGGTGATAGTGAGAATGACATCGTTCAAATATTATTTCGAGACATTTGATTGAAATATAATAGAGTGAGCAACGTCAAAGAGGTGAAAACTTTTCCACTCGACTACCCTATTTTGTTGAGGATTGTCCATACACGAGTTATGATGGAGGATGCTTTTACTAAACAAGAATTCAACCAAAATAGAATTGAAAAACTCACGACCATTATTGGTCCAAAGGACCTGAATAGGAGTTGAATTGGGTTAAAATGAGGGTGTAGAAGTTTTGAAAGGTGATAACAACATCCAATTTGTCTTTTAAAATGTAGACCCACGTCATCGGAGTGTAATCATCTATCAAAGTTAGGAACCGCCATTTATTGGTGTATCTAGGAGTGCGAGAGGGTCCCCAAAGGTCATTGTAAATGAGAGAGAGGTGCAGAAGGTGTGTAAGTGTGGGGTTGGTAATAAACCCGATGATGTTTGACTAACTAATATGTCTCACAATTGAAACTAGAAGAGCTTTTATTAGAAAACATCAAAAGATACAAATTTTTTAAATATTGAAAACTAGGATGACCTAAACGACAATTCAACAATATAATTGGATATTCAATGACTCTACATAAGCTACAACTCCTGAGAGTTGTGTCGTCACATTCATGCTCTTTTCGTGGAAGTAGTAGAGTCTGTCTACTCTCTTAGCAATTTTGATCATCCTTCCTGAACGATGAGTCTGAAAAACACAACCATTAGAAGAGAAATTAACAATGCAATTAATATCATTCGTAAACCTGCTGATAGATACAGATAACAAGTTACATTGCAACTGAGGAACATGTAAAACAGACTCCAGAGTTAGATCAGTTGTTTATTCAATCGACCATTTACTAGCAATGAAACTAATGTAGCAATCGACAATTCTGATGGTATCTTTTCCAGAGCACAGATAGTAAGTTGAAAAAGCTTGCGTGCATTTAGTCATTTGATATGTGAAACCTGAATCAATAATCTACAGACATGAGGAAGAATAAACCGTTAGAGCCATAAGAGAAAACTGTGAGGTTTATTTCTCATGTCTGTGAGCAATTGATCAAGCTTTTTAAGAATAAAGCGAGTGTACAAGAGTATGCAAATTATAAAGGAATTAAGTTAATGTGTCATACAGTAAAATTATGGGAGAGAGTAATTGAATATAGGCTAAAACGTAGTACAAATGTTTCTCAAAAATAGTTTGGATTTGCTAGACAAGTATACTATGGAATCTATGCATTTCTTCAGAAGTTTGATGGAGAAGTACATAGAATGTAAGGAGAATCTACAAAAGATTTTTGTTGATTTGGAAAAGCTTGTGCTAAGGTACGACAAGGAATACTTTGGAGAGTTTCAAAAAAGAAAGGAGTTGATATGACCTATATTCAAGTCATTAAAAATATGTATACTAGAGTTATTATTTGTGTTGAACAAAGGAAGATTGATCATGTATTTTCCTATTTCGGTTTGATTATATGGATCAACTTTAACCCATTTCTTTTTTACATGAGTTATGGATGTTCTTACTAGGCATTTATAGGAGGATGTACCTTGGTGTATGCGTTTTGCTGATGATATCCTTCTAGTGGATAAGACTAGAGAAAAAGTTTAGAAAATAAATTGAATTATGGAGGTCAACTTTAGACTCTAATGACTTTCATTTGAGTAAATCTAAAATTGGATACATGGAATGTAATTTTAGTACTAGTAGTAGATCTATTGGTGTAGTTGTAACAATGGGTGATCCAGTCGTTACAAGGAGTGAACGTATGTCTCGAGTTCATTGTTCAAAGCGATGGCGATATAGATGAGGATGTTATTACTAGAATTCAAGTTGGACGGTTGAAGTGGAGGAATGCATCAAGCCTATTGTGTGATAGAAAAGTACCGCTCAGACGTGAAGGAAATTTTTACAAGATAGTGGTGAGACCTGCAATGCTTTATGACACAAAATGTTGGCCACTAAAAGAGGAGCATGAAACTGAGTTAACTGTTGCTGAGATGAGAATGCTTATGTGGATGAGTGGCTTTACACTTAGAGACAAAATGCGAAATGAATATATCCGTGAAAGAGTTAGTATAGCTCCATTGACACGCAAGAATAGAGAGAGTTGTCTTAGAGAGTTTGGTCACATTATACGTCGACCATTTGATGATCCTGGTTGGAGAGTAGATGTTTTAGATTTGACTTTTGATAAGAAAGGTGGAGTTTGACCTAAAAAGACTTGGGCATGCTGTATAAAAAATAATCTTAATCTATTAGCATTAAATGAAAATATGACACTCAATAGCACACAATGGAGAAAAAAGATTCATGTAGCCAACCCCACTTAGTGGGATAAAGTCTTTATTGTTATTGTATATCTTTAATAACATTAGCATATTTTTGACACTTTTTTTTAATATGCACTATGCCATGTTTTTGTTGCTATATCAAATTGTGATCCTATTCCCTAAAATCACGTGGCATGTCTAGTAACAAAATATATAGGTACTAATCGCAAGATTTTTCTTTATTTCGGGGAATTGATTCTGAAAAATTCAGGTGATTAGGATTCCTTGAACTGATTGCATGTCAGCTTTTTCTTTATCAGACAAGTAGCTATACTTAATTCTGTAGCCTGATAACCAATAGTTCACTATACATGTTTATTTTTACATGGCATGATTTTTGCTGTACTTTGATATCATTTTTCATATTTGGACATATCTGTACTTATTTTACTTGTTTATTAGTTATTAGTCATTCTGTGGTAATAGATTAAAAATAATGGTCCACCGGATGCATTTGTCATTTTTGGAGACCTACGACGCCTTTCTCTTGACAGTCTTCTTTCACTTCACTTGTGTTCTTTTTTTTGTTTCATTTTTTCTTATGTACATATATTCTCTACAAGTGCTCAAGTTCGATCAAGGTTTTCTCTGAGGTAATCCTTTAACACACTCATTTGGCAGTTGTATGACAGATAGGATGGTGGCTTCCACTCATACATGCCTTATAATAGGCTGTCTCGCACAGTATTGGTTTTCACTCATACATGCTTTCAATCATTTCATATTTATTGCATAATTCTTAACATGCTATATTTGGATTCAATAAATGACTTCATGATTTGGTTTTGTAAATGGCAATTTCCTGAAATGCCTCTGATGGAATGTACACCTTTGGGTAAAAGATATAGTAAATTGAATTATTTCTATTTTGATTTTTATTTTCTTCACCAAAATGAAAGGGAAAAAGTGTAGTTCTTTATATTCATGTTTTTTTCAATGGAAAGATACTGAATATTCACCTTCTAACTCATGATGCCTAGGAAAACATACTATTTTGGGCTCCTCTTGTTAGGGATGTGAAAACTTTTGTTGTTCGTGTTTTATCTTATTCAACTTAATAATTAGCTCAAAGTTGACTGGTTTTTTGAAAGATTATTTATTCAACGAGCCAAATACAAATAAAGTTTTATTGACTGTGTTTGGCTTGATAATGGCTTAATTATCTTTTTATAAACCTAAAAATATGCATATTTATACATGTATGTATACTTATTTGTATATATGTGCGCATATATATATATA